CGTATATTTGATTTATTTAAATATAATTTTTTGAATTTAATTATTTAAGCAATTTATTTTAGATTTTGTCATTGTTATCGTCATCTGGGTTATCAGGGTCAGTGACCGAGTACCCAGATTAACGATGCCTGCATATTAGTTCAGATTCACAGAATGCGCAACGGCTGTTGAATCCGCCGGAGTAGGAATTGCAGGGTTGTTCCATCCCAGAGTTAGTGTATAGTTTTCATCCGGTTTATTAAAAGACGAGCTTTGGTCTTTCGCCGGGATCATAGATTTCCTTGGTACATTTCTTGTAATTTTTTTATATTAGGGCAAGGTTGCAGGAGTATGACGATGATATAAAATATTAGGTTTTTAAGTCTGTGGCCGTAGTTATATAGATGTACCAGTACCAGCCTTGATGATGCTACGGTTTATGTATAGAGACACATTGCAACAAAGGTTTTACCTTCTGCTGTGTTCGATTCTCTGAGTGATGAATCGTTCAGCTTCCTAGCTATCTATCAGTGCGGTGTTGAAGTAGCTGATTTGCTGGTAAACCTATTCGTACTTTGAGTTGCCATATTCGATGGAAGGATGGCAAATCGGTTCCTTGACTCTTCGCCCCACACATGTTTATGCAAGTTTGGCAGATTACGTATGTGCATCTCGATGTTATTGCTCTTTTATCGTATTCTGTTGTCATGCAGTTAATCTTGCACTGAATCTTTATTGATTTATTGCAACCAGATTGATAGACTCCGGGCTGGGATTACAAATTACTTGTTTGTTTGAACTATTGTTTCTTCCGTAGAGTTCGTTAACTGAATCATTCGCATATGTATATACGAACTCAGCAGACTAGTGGTTTGTCGTTGTCGTGAATAAAAGCGTTTTTATGTTGGTTTTGCGACACGTGACGGTTGTGGTAGATTTGCTTGTATCGTTCTGAAGCGGATGTATGCACGCAAATGAGACGTTGTCAACTTGTCAAGCCTAAAACGATGTACTTTTCAATATTTGTGCACCTGCGCCAGGTGCATAAACCGCCGCTTGTCTCCGGCATGGCTGGCTGTCAGGTGATTGCAAATGAATCGAGTTTTTAGCCTCATCTCTTCTACCCGTATCGTTCTGCTATCGGTGACACAAGAATGTCTGTGGCTCCTCAAACTTGCTGCGTTTGCTAAAGTAGCAATGGATGATGTCTAATTATTCAGAAGAAGCTAGCTAATGATATAAAATGACATGAAAGAGCGAGGAGGGAAAAAATAGGAAAGTAGACTTACAAGGCAAATTGTAGTTAAATATTTTCTCCTTGTTTTAGGGCACAAACAATTATTTCGTGCCTGAAATCATTAATTAACAAATTGACTGCAGTTCTAATCACGGCTCCAGAATTTAACGTCTTATTCTTCAAGAATATATCATGTTTTTTGCGCTACATTAGCGCTTCACTTCACCGACAGCATATCTGCCGCAGCGAAAACGGCTGATGGATATCGAGAAAAAAGACGACAGAGTTAGCAGCGGAGCCGCTTCTGAGTGGAGGAGGCAGACAGTGCAGGCCATTATAGCGTTTCAGAAGAAGCTCCACGAGAACGACACCGTCAGTTAGAGCTTAGAGTTAGAAATTGGAATATATCGTCACTCATGGGGAGGGAGCATGACTTAGACTATGAAGCCTCAAGGTACCAACTCGACATAGTTGAAAGAAACTTCGGTGCTCTGGAATTCTGAATCTCTGCTAGTGGAACTACGCAGGTGTCGACATCATGGCGACGGTGTTATTTATATGTAGGTGCGTATTTCGTTAGTCAAAGGAAACAGAAAGTGATTTATGACAACGCTGAGTGACTGAAGGATGTTTTGAGGCGTACGCCCTGTTCTACAAGTAAATCTTGTAGCATTTTCATACAAGAAATAACATATGTTCTCCCATGTTTCCGTCCTGATACGTTTAAGCGTTTTTGTATATCTAGGCATTTTCATACGTTTATCATCGTCTTCCCATTCTTTAATAAACTTGTTGTACACGTTCAGTCGTTTGTTATGTTGTTAAGAGTTGATGTTTGGGATGGTCAGTAAAACACCAGTTTTGTTCAGCTCACAGTTGAACGTGTCGATACGCGACGCCATGCTTTATTTAATTATTTTAAGACTCAGTTTTTGAAGTGTAAAATTTTACAACAACTTTTCAACGTGTTATGATCGACAGTCTTCGAGAATGGGGAACTCAGCTACAAGTTTTCGCGAAGTACCTTCCATGCTACGGTAAAAATAATTTTTTTTGAAGCACAACTGTTTGATATGAATTAAGCATTATCTCTCTGGGTTGCCGTGGTTTGGACTTGCGTTATCTCTGCATGCAGATGACAACAACAGATGTATAGATTAACGACACAAAGCTGTGATGCTGTATTTGCATAATTGGCAAGTTTAGTTTATGTGAAGGTTAATCAGCGCTGTCGTCCTTTAACATTAATGATGAGCAGCTCTGAATACCTTCTTGTAAAAGCGGTGGTCATTCTTCCGTGTGGATGATGGCATTCATTTCTCACAGACTGTAGTTTTCACCTATTCGTCGCTTTCTCGGACAAATTTTGATTCTCAAACTGGCAAGCGTGCCATCAAACAATTTTTGATTTAGTGTTTCTCTCTAATCAGATGACCAGCACGTACGTTAATTTTTTTCGTTTACGAGCAGCAGCTTTCATATGAATAGTTTTTTTCTATGACCTCCCGAAGTCTGTTATTTTTGCGACGGCGATGGCAGGTGGACAGGTGTGCTAGTTGAAATGCGTAGTTATTAATATTGATATGTCAGCAGATTTATCTTTCGTCTCTTTATTGCATGTTTGGGTGTTGCTTCGTGCATTTTCGAGGTAAGCATTTTTACTTCTAATTAAGTTATTCGCTCTAGCTAATGACGCTTTTTAAAGTGATTCTTCCTCATCTCAGTAATTTTCTAAATATCATCTGGTTGTAATTAATTTAAGAAACACGATTACCAATGAATGCACGGGAAAAACCATGCTCCTCCACCAATACAGCCCCAAATTGGGGACATCTGCACAACATGAACCTGCTCATAAGTGATAATCATCTTGAGATATAGGATAATTGCGGACCTCGCCTTCTATTAAAACAAAAGTGAATCACTCTATTAACCAAGACTACTAATGAAAACTTCTTTCAAGAAAATAAGTACTTCAATTTTATTTAACCCCGTTATTATGTTGTTACTAGCAGAATGCTAGTCTTCGATACTGCTATTAAAAATAACCTCTCACTTGCCTGTGATAGCCTAAGGAACTGTTTAAGTAGGCCACAGCTACATGGAGTTTTAGTATATAGAGTGCACTGGCGTAAAACGGTAATCAGCTGTTTTTGTTATTGTTCGGCCCAGCAGAGTGGTGCGGTACTGTTAATCGGTTGAAGTACTTTGTAATTAATTTACTTACTTTTTAAATCATAAATAAAATCATCAAGACTAATGGCAATTGAATGTCGTGAATTTTCAGAGCATGAACATTCAGGGCGATTTCCGGATAGAACGCGATACGTTTGGAGAATTGAAAGTTCCGGCGAACAAGTACTACGGTGCTCAGACCGCCAGATCGATGATAAATTTCGACATCGGCGGCCCTACCGAACGCATGCCGGTGAGTATATGGTTTTTAAATGAATCCCTAGAACTTAATGTGCGTACTGACAAGAATAGAGAGCTTTCGCAGATTATTTTACAACTTGCTTCCTGATTCTCTAATCTATCCCTATAAGTTTTAAACCATTCTTAGACAAAATGTCCATGCTAAAAATTAACCTAAACAGTTCAGTAAAAAAATCGT